GTAAAGTGCCCCATTCACTCTTCCCAAAATCTACGCTTCTTCGTTACCGAGAGGTATGGAAAATACCTCTCCGAGTGGTACCGTTAAACTTAAGGACAATTGAGGGGATTTTAAGAAGGTAAGATATACACAGTCCCTGGTGGGGTTTTGTCCCATTTACCCAAGATTTACCTGACTTTCTGCGAGTCAGGTGTACAGAGAATCTTAACCTGTACGTTTTAACACCCCCTCCCCCTTCCTCCGTGCCCTCACTCCACGATTCGTACTACCCTTGTGAAAATTCGCCCATTCATGGGGGCTATCCATAAATAAACTGTTCAGCGAGGAAAGTTTTACAAACTCCTCGACTAATCCCTCTGAGACAAGTGGAAATTACACCTGTTCACCTGACAATTAGGGGGAGACAAAGGTCGCAGTAGTCACCGTTTCGTTCCATCGAATATTTTCGAATACAAGAACTGCGAACTTTTAATTTCACTCACCCAACAATTCCACATATTTTCAGAATGAAGAAAAGATTGATAGGAAAATAAAAACTGAAAATATTGAGAATAAAGAAGTGACGTAAGTGGAAACTTCAACTCAGTAGCGAAGCGGTAAACCGGATTAAATCGATTTTAACTATTGGCCAGTTTTTGGCGAATATCTCGGAATCTAAAAGAGATAGAAAAATTTTTATTACCTTTTCTGTAGAGCCAACTGAGGGTTATAAAAAAGGTTATAACAGAAATTATTCTATCTCTTTTAGATTCCGAGATATTCGTCAAAAACTGGGCAATAGTCAAAATCGACTTGACCCGGTTTACCGCTTCGCTACTGATTTGGTCATATTCAACTCTACCATTCGTTAATAGTTAACGAATCTCATTTGGAATAAATGAATCAGTCTATCAGTGTATTTTCTTGGGATATACCTTGACGCTCGAGTGGGGACACTGGTATTCCGCTTTGCCGGACATAGGGTGGGGATATTGAAATTCACCTTATAGGGTCAACTCATTCGTCTAAAACTAGAGGAAACTATAACTGTCAATCTGCCAATTCCATTGAATACTTGACAGCACAAAGGTTGTGAACTTTCAATTTCACTCACCTCATCATTGCACGTCTTCACACTGAAGGAGACATTTAAAAATATAAACTCTATAAATTATTGTAAATAAACAAGTAATAGAATCCCGAAGAGCAAAAATAAAAAAACAAGGAATAAAATCCTTCACTAATTCCTCAGAAGTGGGAATAGCAAGTGTTCACCTGAAAATTAGCTTCCTCTCTTCGTTCCATCTGATATTTTCAAGTATAACAGCTATAAACTTTCGATTTTACCCACCTCACAACTTTGAGAATAAAAGAAATGTTTTAAAGAGAATAAAACCCCGAATTATTATGAATAAACGAATGATAACATCGCGAAAATATACGTGTGTATTATTATTCACTTCACTGCAATTAAAATCGGCGTTCAGACAAATTCCTCCGTGATTTTGCCAGTGGAATGGGCACTTTATTTATAACAGAATGAGTGTGGCGGTATTTGAATACTTTTCCAATAAAGTTTTTGTCACAACGAAAACTTCAAGGAGATCTGCTAGGAGTTACGGTCGTCAGCTTGCAGCGTAATCAAGTAAAGCGTGTCGAGTATCCTCTTTTCCTGTTCTGTTCTGCTTTGGTCTCCCCTAGTCATCGTAATAAATCCACCATTTTACCCCACCCTCTTGTGATATTAATTGCTCCTGTATTTCTCCGGAATTTATGCAGCTATTTGCATGCGACGACGAGCGTTTTGCATGAGTAAATACAAGTATTGATTTATATTGAATTTGTTCAAATATTCCTTATTCTTACATAAATGAATTGTATTTATTCGGAGAAAGATCATGAGAATGGGGACTTTTTCATTATAAACGAGCGGAGAATTGTATTTTTTATTAATGAGTATGGTAATTGTTGCTAATAAATTAGCAATTTCCTTCCGAAAGGGTTGTTTTGTTTGAAATTCTTATTTCACCATTCTCTTCTTCTATTTTGTTCATGTCACAGTACTATTATCAGTTGAAATGTCATGAAAAAATGGTAATTTGCATTTGGAGGAAGATTAAGAAATAATTTCAAAATTGCAATTTTTGAAAATTACGAGCATTTTCGATAAATAATTTATGAGCGATCAATTTTGCACCATGAAAATCATTTGCTTCCGAAAGTTTAAACAACTTCAATTATTTATTTATAAACCATAAATGTTTAAAAACATAATGATTCTCTGAATGTTTTTCTTTCAAATTTTTTTTGCACAATTTAATTGACAAATTTGACGATTAAAATGGTTGAATCTATAGTGCGGCCACTCCCAAACTGTAAAACATACTTGGATATCCTTAAAGCCTATATTCACGAAAAAATTCATCAAATTCGATTGATCCCATTTAAAGAAATTTCGAAAAAAGAAATAAAAAGGACCACATGAAAAATTGAAACCCTAAAAAAAATTTCGATTCATAAAATGAACAAGTCTTTACCCTATTTTTACGCTTAACAAAGAAAACAATTCATTCCATAATAAAAAAAAATGTTTTCAAAAAATCGACAACTTATAGTCAATTTGAAAACGAATGTATCATAAAATCACATTCATTGAATTCCCATTGTCCGTAAAAATAGAAGAATCCATACACAACATTTCTTATTCCACTTTTATATCCGACAGTAAAAGCGCTCCATGCAAACCCCCAATCATCAAATTTTTGTTCTGAAACTCTGGGTCAGATAGGTGTCCCTCGAAATTGTCTTATTTCAGGCATCAAAAAAAAGTTGAGACCAGAAATTACAACTGTCCACCTTGCAATTAAGGTGGATCCCTCAAACACCCACTTGTCCCATTTCCCCCTCTCGACCAACGTCCAACATAATAAACCATGCACTTCGGCCACCTCTCAGTATACTTTTAATTGCACCTGTAGCACTCCGAGTTATACGGTCCATTTACAAGAACACGGTCGTATTTGCCTGTAGTTTTCCAAATTTTTTTCCTCAAATTTCCCTGGGTGTGGACACTTGACTCCTAGCGTTTACCTGGCACACCTCAAAGGCCAGTATACCGTCAATCCACCGAGTGCTCCACCCCAAAGATCCAAGGATACACCAGTGATTTTCGCACAAAAGTCCTCAACCGTGGAGAATCATCACCCCTGGAAAACCTCTTTCACAAAAGGATCAGAGAAAAGGGCATTTTAAGGTTTAAAAAATGTTGTAGACAATTTTTTATACTTCGAATAAAATTATTTCATATATTTAACGAGTTTATCAGCCGATAAAATTACAAAATCAGATATAAGGCACTGGCATTTCAGTCGAATTAATGACGACACAATTTTTCATCGATGAATTAAGAAACTGATTCACTAAAATAAACGATTCATCCATAAATAACTGAGCGAATTGGAATTTCGAGTGAATTTACATTTTATTTTTCACTGCCTTCGGCAAATTCATGAATCGATATAATTCAACTCGTTCATCCGCTCTATCTCTCTGCTCTATCTTACATTTTAAATTCCGTAAAATATCTTAACATTAACGTAATATACAATATTTATAGAATTAAAAAAAAAGTTATGTACATAGTCTCTTTTTGAATTCATTAAAAAATATTCTTGTACGGACAAAAATTTGTCGAGGGCTCGTAAACTCAGTGTTTCAACGAGTTCAACTAAAAAGTTGGTGAATGTTGGAAGGTATCTTCTCAGCGGGGCATCGAAGCACCTCGCATCGTCTCCCTCATTTTTTATTCTCATCTTCTTGTTAAGCACATAGAGGTTGTTGTACAGAGTGTACATGACTAGATCACAGTTGATGGAACAGCCCGAATGAATTTTGTTTAACGTCCACCTGGATTTGCTTCCTCAGTGACATCTCTCGAATAAATAATTCTGCAATCAGGCAAAAGTAACGGAAAAGGTTAATACATCTATTGATCAAATTGATCACGCTTGTGCGTGATGGCCAAGTTTCTCGAAGCAAAGAAATGTCCCATTATTCATCTACGGATGGATTTAATTCACCGAAGATTCGGTGGAACGCGTTTCACCGGGGTTCAATGCCTCGTATATCAGTTCTTGCAGGTATGAATGTGAAGAGAGACGGAAAAAAAGGGAATGGAATGAAAAAATACACGAGGGGATGATTTCTCAGGTAAGGGCGGGTTTTTTTTCGGCGGAGAAGGGAGAGAGGGGAAAAATGAGAAGAAGGAATTGTGTATACCGGTTCAAAAACCGACAAAGAAGGGAGGGGACGACTGGTATATCCTGAAAGACGCATTCAGGTTAAACGCACCGCGTGAGACGAAATTGTCCTCGGGATTTTTATTTTTTTTCTGCTGATGTGTGTCGAGAAGCAGTGCAAGAATACTTGTTGCATAAAAAGTACGATGGAACATTAAATTATGAACATAATTAACGAATTTGATGAACAAAAATTTGAGGAACACCGAAACGTGCGGAATTAATTAATTGTGAAATTACGGAAATTATTATTGACGCGATTACGAAAAACGAATGATTCAATTTTCTCGTTAGCCGAAAAAATAATAAACAAATAATGAAGCTGAAGAAACGAGAGGCCGAGCTTGTTAAATGAAAGAACGCCCAACAAAAGCGAATAATCCCGAGGGTTCAATCGCGAGAAGGAGAGGAGGTTTAATACTGAATGGAGTCTGCGATTTGAATGGCCATGGAGGAACCCCGATGGGGATATATATTTTTCAACGAGGGGTCCCTCACTGGATCCATTGTGCTCTACGCCAAGGTCACAAATTCTGGCCAAAGAAATTTCTTTCAAGCTTCTTACGCACAAAACGCAGGGGTAACTCCCGATTTGCACCATTATACGATTTTTTTCCGAATTTACCCACCGATTTTGTCAAATAAACCGAGCAACATTGATGAAAATTGTTACAAACCTTGAGAATCATTGACGACGCTCGGCGGAACGTGGATATTCAGTCCTCATTGGCTCTGCTGCCACCAGGTGATGACATCAAGTAACTCCTCGTCCTCAGGACTCATTGGACCATAATTATCGTAGCTATCGTTGTGCGGTGGATATAACGCTGTTGATGCACTGCCATATCCCTGACTACCACCGGAGGATGTTTCGGAGATGAAGCTCGGGGTCGGTGAACTGGATGCCTCGGAGCACGGCGGTGGTACGAAGGACGACGGGCTCGGATTCTGCCTAAGATGCTGTCGATGTATATCCGTAACATGTGGTGAATGCAAGTCGTTCGTGTGCATATCAATTCTCGATGTCGAGCCACAGGTGGATGATACTGGCGATGGCGATGTTGACGGTGCACTGCTTGTCTCGGAGCTGTCGTCGTCCAACAAGCGCTGAAGACTCCTGATGTACTCAACAGCCATCTTCAGCGTCTCAACCTTGGATAATTTTTTCGAACCAGCTCTCGATCCACCGTGTGTACCCGCTGTATTACCGCCCAGTGCTTGCGCCACACTCTGGGGTATGTGCTGACGAAGTGTTGCAAATCCATTGTTTACTTGTTTAACACGATTTCTCTCACGTGCATTTCTCCGCGCCACTGAGGCCGGCTGATGTGGCACTGTTCCGTAGGGTGTTGTCTGGTATATTTTGCTCCTCTTGCAATTCTGCATCTTGAGATCGTTACTCGTAACACCACCAGTCGAGACAATCACATTGCCCCGCTGGACATTCATGTTTCCATTGTTGTTGATATTGTTCGTGTGTAAACCACTGTGGTGGTGATGCTGCTGCACGCCCAACATCATTGGTAATGTGTTCTCGTCGTTTGTTCCCACTAAGGTCATCACACAGTTGTCTCGTCCTATCAACCCGCGAATCCTGATACACGCGATGATCGAACGATGGTCGATTGAAATTGAAAACTTCAATGACGATTTAATTCACAAGCGAGAAGCTTTAACCGTTTAGATGATGATAGTACGACTGTTACGTTTGTAAACTGTACGATTTAAATAAAACTCAACAGATCGCGTTTGTTTTGAAATATTGAGGAACCAAAACCTGTGGTTTGTGCACCCTCGATGCTCACTGTACGGTTGTGGCTCCCGAAATGCCTTGCTGAGGAGGGTACGGGGCCTTATATAAGCCAGACGGGCACGCGCCGCATCCCCACCATGGGGTCCCATACTCCATCGGGGCCCTAAACCCTCTGGTACCCCCTCCGTCCCTCCGCAAAGTACGGGCTGAAGAGAGAAAGAGGAGAAAAACCCTGTGGCACATCCCCCTCTTTCCTCATATCGCTTCTCTGTACTATATTTCTCTTCTTTGCCCCTACTGCGGCACCATCTTCTCACTCTTTCTTACTTTTCTTATGGGTTTCGGCAGGAGATGGAAGCACAGAGGCCCTACTAGAGGAATCGAGATTCTCATCTTTTCAACTAAATTTTCGTCTTTTTTCATTGTTTTTTTTTATTGAAATTGTATTTTACGAAGATGTTGACTTCAATCATTTGTTGTTTTAGCAATTGAGAGAGTGGATCTGACAGGTTGTTGAGATGTTTGGATGCATTCATTCATAGATATTTCATCGCATCGCACAATTCTCCCTGTAAATTCTATTTTCATCACGCTGTG